TTTTGCTGAATTACAAATGGAAGTCCAAAGCAGAGCCGGATTTTTTATATAAAGACCACCATGATACACCGTTATTGCTTCACAAGGTGGAGTGGCTTTGGAAGGTGTGGTGAGGATGGAAGCTTTCCTGTGTTTCCTTTGCACTGGACCAGGATCCTGGACTGGAGAAAAGAACTTGGGACACACTTGGGCTGAAAGTTCTCTCCTTGTATAAGCAGTGTGCATGGAAGCATGTGTTGTACTTGTACAGGGTATCATCATGTTTCAGCCAATGTATCAGATGTATTTTGCTACAACAGAATAACTGCTTATATGGCACTGTGTGGGAGATGGTGTTCCACGTGATATTGAACTGGGATGACCTGTCAGAGCAAGGCATCAGGAAGTCAGCATAGTGTTAAGTCAGACCTTATGTGTGATTGCTTATTCATTCATCTATTTATTTATTCAACAAATATTGAGTGTCTTTGATATTCTAGACATTAGCATTAGAGTAGGGAAACAAGCAACATGCCTACCCTTGTGAAGTTTATGTTCTGTAGGGAAAGACTACACTAAAGAAATGTTTTAAATAAACAAGGTATTACATAATTGTGTGTTATGAGGGCAATAAAGGAAATAAAGAAGATCCTTGTTAGAGAAGCCTTCTCTGAAGATGTCATACTTGACCTAAGATAATACCATATGCATAAGTTACATAAGTCAGCCAATGTCAAGGACAGAGTAAATACCAGGCAGAGGGAATACCAAGTACAAAGGCCCAAAGATGACAAAAGACTTGCCATGTCTGAGCAACAGAAGGGAGACCTTGAGCAAGAGAATAAGAATTGCCATTTGGTGGGGGCAAAGCCACACAGGACCTGCCACCATTGTTTCCCACTTGGACTACTGAAATAGCCACTGGTTGAAATTACAGTGGCCTGCACTAGTCAATGCAATGAGAGCAAGAGCCTGGAAGAATTTAAGATATATTTTGCAGGTTAGAGTGACTGACAGAGCTTAATGACAATGTCTGAAATGAGGAAAAGAGAAAACCCAAGATGCCGCATAGGTTTCTGCTTGAGCAACTGAGGAGAGATTATGGTGCCATTTTTCTGAGCCTTCAAAGCCTAATAGCTTGCCAGACCTCACTTAGCTAAGACACTGAATTCTACTCTGTGTGAACTCACTTCTTTAGGATTTTTTAAAACTCAGGTGGCAGGCGTGGTCTCACCTGTAATTCTAGCAACTCAAGAGGCTGAGGCAGGAKGATCAAAAGTTCAAGGCCAGCCTCAGCAACTTAGCAAGACCCTGTCTCAAAATGAAAAATAAAAATGGTGAGATGTGGCTTAGTGGTAAAGCACCCCTGGGTTCAATCCCTTGTACCAAAAAGGAAAATATAAAAACCTCTGTGAAGTTATAAATTTAAATTTCAAAGATCTTTTTTAGAGTTGCAAATAAATTTTCATCTATATTAAATTGTTAATCTAGAAACATTCTGATGTTCAGAATTAAGCAATATTGGCAAACCTATTGGTTTGGTTTTTTTTTTGGTGTGTGTGTGTGTGTGTTTGATTGATTGTAAATAAATGGTACTATAATGGAATAATTCATTTACCTCAAAGCAATAGCCAGAATACTGGGGATGTTTTATCTCAGCATACAAAAAAAGTGGTTTTCTGAATTTTTTTCCAGCCTAATACTTTTCTGGAATTTCTCAGCAACAGAGCAGCTTGTAAGAAAAATTAGATTATAAACTGTGTCTTACAAATATGGACTAAGACTGCAAAGCTTGAACAACAAGGTGCTTGCGTAAAGCATCCTGGTTTGTTTCTGTTCTTGATATGTGGATACCCCTCACCCCCAGGTGCTCTGTAGCTTTATACAGATTATTTCTCTAGACTCACAAAGGACCCACCCAGGATATGGGCAGGGTTTTTCAGTAGAGAGGAAAATGGAGACATTTGGGTTGTATATTTCTACTATTTGGTCTCAGACATTCTGGCCAGGTTGAAGACTCTTGCTAACATAGGTAATTCTTTACTAAAATCTGCATCATGAAATAGATCTTAACTGACCTATAGAAACAATGGCATTGTGTTCTTAACAAAAGCAGGTCATAAATCCTAAGTATATCCAATAGCATTCGAATACAGAGAAGCAGACACATTCTAAATCTCTCATTAATAAGCCCCTTATAGGACTGTGCCCCAAAATCAATTAGGGTAATAATAAGGAACAACAACAAATCAGGCTCGGAAACCTCTCATAGAAAAGGCATTTATTGTCTCACAGAACAAGACAGAGTGGTTCCAGGCTCGTTCTGTACTTCCGTGATGTCCTTAAGGTCTCAGGCTCTTTACCTGTTTGCTTCCAACCCCTGCTTCTTGCCATACCCCTGAAGCATGTTCCCTAACAGTGGCAGGAAAAGAGAAAGCCTTTCCCAAAAGCCCCTAGTAGACACCCCTTGAGTCCTTGTCCATGGAGCACCCAGTTTCCCTCATTTAGATCCAATAGTATTATTCTCAACTTTTCCTCTTCTCTCTCATTCCCCCCATTATCTATGACCTATCTATTCTGATTTAAAAATCTTCCCCCTGTGTTCACTACATTAATTCAGACCCTCATTATCTGTTCTTACAGCTTCCAGTTTATATATCTTCTACATTGCCACTGGAGTGTTCTTTCAAAATACAAGTCTCATTTTGTTACTATTCTGCTTAAAACCCTTCAGTTGTTCTTAGTCACAGATAGGATTCAATTTCAATTTTTTTTTCTAGCTGCAGTAATGACTCCTTTTCCCCACCTTTCAAATTAAGAAAAAAAAATCTTAAAGGATGGCTCAATACAGCTAACAGATGTAGAGCTACCAAGGTTGAAAAGTGGGTGGGAAAGGGGTCCATACCTCAGCCAGGTGGATCCCTTTCCTTCTGTTATGTGGAGGTCCCAGAGGCTTTCCCTGGAACAGCAGATAGAAAAAAAATGCCTACTAGGCAGAAGGGTATGGACCTCAGGAGTGTCAGCCTTGCTAATATCATAGGCAAATGATATGGAATCTAAAGTCAGGGGAATGCTTACCCAGAGAGCATAGAGAGAAAGGAAGAGGTTCAAAAGTTRCATTGATACAATGCTCATAAACCATGTAACATCCAACAAAGCAGTGCTTCTGTTTCATATTTCAAACTTTAAGAATGTGTCTTAAAGGAAAATTTATGCTCTGATTATATCAGACAAGTTTACCCAATCAGATTCTTGAGAACAAAGTAAGGATAGTTACAGACCAAAAATGCAACTCGTATCAAAACCTGAGATTAACAATTTACAGTTATTTGATTTGTGATGGGCTTTTGGTTTGTTTGGTAGTGGATATTGAACCCAGGGTTTCACTTATGCTGGGCAAGAGTTCTAACACTGAGCTACATCCCCAACTCTCCAGTTTGTTTGAAATATGCTTGTGTTTACATTTTCGTTCTTATAGCTACTTTTTAAAAGAGGTACAAAATTGCTGTGATAACCAAAGAGAATAGTCTCCATTTTCAAAAGGCTTTTCATATTAGAAATCCTGAGTTACAAACATTTCATGTCTTTCCATTTCTGATCAAGGTAGTTTTGTGTTAATTAAGCTTAAGAATAAAATTTCAAACAAATACAATAACCAAGTATGTTCGTTATCATAACTATTCTCCTGCTGCTGAAATCAACTTGCATTTATTTTTTGTTTATTTAAGAATTTAGTGTTTTTTGTTGTTCTGTGAAGACTAAACAGCTATTTAGATGCAGTTTACATTCTTTTTTTTAAAAGAGAGAGTGAGAGGAGAGAGAGAAAGAGAGAGAGAATTTTTTTAATATTTATTTATTTATTTATTTATTTTAAAGAGAGAGTGAGAGAGGAGAGAGAGAGAGAGAGAGAATTTTTAATATTTATTTTTTAGTTCTCGGCAGACACAACATCTTTGTTGGTATGTGGTGCTGAGGATCGAACCCGGGCCGCACGCATGCCAGGCGAGTGCGCTACCGCTGAGCCACATCCCCAGCCCCAGTTTACATTCTTGTTATGGAATATAACCTTCTTCATGAGGCTGGAGATGTTAATGAACAATTTTATCARGTAAAGGAGCTGTCAATTTGAGGCAAGAGATGAATGATTGTGAACTTTACAACTTATAGACAGTTGATATCATCAGAAAGAGAGGGAAGGATGGAGGAAACCGAAGGGAACTGGTCATGGCAGGTTCCAACCAGGCCAGACTGTTAACTTTACTTGTTTTCATCCATTCTCAATTCAAAGAAGATTGAGGAAAGCTTGTCCTTAAGTATCTTGTGTGGGCTCTAGTCAAACAGACCATCAGTCTTGCTTCCCCTTTGGCTCTATCTCCGATGCTCACCTCCTGTCTACCTAGGTCTCTTTCCTTTCATCACCATATGCTTTTCTGCTTCTACCTTTATAGCCTGCCCTCTACATACCTGGAGCTGACCTGTTTCTTGTCACCATCTTTACTGTCAGATTTTGTACAGTCAGGCTCAACCTTTCCTGACGACAGCAGCTCCATTAGGGCACTACAGAGTACATTTGCCATTTCCCAGCTTTTCCTGCAACCCCACCTGAGGAGCCCACACTGCCCCCAACTTTCTCACATTTGTCTGGGACTTCTCAAGAACTGAGCACCAATCAGAAGCTGAAAATATGTACCAGTTATCTGGAGCTTCAAACTGATTTTGATTCTCTCCTAATCCTTTTAAACATGATGTTTTTAAATTAAGAGTAGCAGAGACAAAGTGATTTAGGAAAATGATAATGTTATCCTAGCCTATTTCAGTGCCACTCTAACATCGTTAAGAAAATTGACTGTCAGATTTGATCTATGTTGTTGAAATGAACTGTGATCATTCCCAGAGTAGCTGGAGTAAAATTCTCACCCAGCAGGAGCAGTTTTAATGATYGAAGAATAGTAACCAAGAGAAGCAACTGAACTTCAATGCATTGCTGACCTCATACCCTACCTCTCTCCTCTCTTTTTCAGGCACAACATGTTTGATTGCTCTGCTATCAGATAAAGACCTCACTGTGGCCAATGTGGGTGACTCACGAGGAGTCCTGTGCGACAAAGATGGGAATGCCATTCCCTTGTCTCATGATCACAAGCCTTACCAACTGAAGGAAAGAAAAAGGATAAAGAGAGCTGGTGAGATGTGACTACCTCTAGAGAATGTCTGCCATCTTGTTTGGTGGACAAAGGGCTTGCTTGGAGACCTCCTGGGCTAGAAATTAGTGGGTCACTACAGAGGCTGCTACTGAAGTAGCTGTGACTTTGAAATGTTTCCTCCCAAATAAATGGCCACTGAATTTGCCCCTCCTCATGACTAAATATTCCAGAAGGGAACCCCTTTTCCAGATTAATAAGATCTTTGGGCCATTGCTTCCTGCTTCATTCTCATCTCTTACCATATTCTGCTTCCCTTTAGTCATGCCAAATTACTAACCATTTCCCCAAATGACCTTTGTTTCTGATACCTCTCTGCCTTTGCAAGTGCYATTCCCACTCTTAGTGGATGACAATTACTTGTCCCTTGAGATTCAACTTCAAGATATCCTTTGGAAGCCTTCCGTGTCACTGTGGCAAAGGCTCCCCCAGTCTAGGTTAGGTCTTCTGTCTTTCTACAGTATCCAAAGTGGTCCTCTTGGATCACCTTTCACAATGWGTACATAGCTGTCTTATGTTCCTGACTGAGCTCTTTGAGGGCAAGAACTTAGTCTTGTTCATCTCCATCACTTAGTTCAGTGATTAGTATAATAAATATTTCAGAGCATGGTGGAAGKGTCCCTTATTAATTTGTCCAACACGCCCTCTACCCAAAAAATTTCTCATGGAGTTTACATTCTGAAATTGGCCKAGGAGTGGGGAATGGATCAGATAGATGTTAACCAAAAAAATTAATTAGTAAAAATAACCAACTTATATAGAATATTGCAAGGTGATAACTGCTATGGAGAGACATAAAGCTGATATGGGAATGGGGAGTGTCAGGAAATTGCAGTTTTATGAAAAGTGGTCCACATTGGCTTCACTAAATTGATATTTGGASAAAGACTCCAAGGAGGAATATCAGTTGATTATTCTATTTTCAAAACTAGATTTGGGATAGTCTGTGGAAGGAAAGAATTCCTTTGCTCCACAGACTGACAACTTCATGACATACCAGGCAGCAGATCAGCTGGAAGTACAATGCTCAGGCACACTAGTCTCTAACCAGCATGGATCCCTGCTGTCTGCAGTTTGACTCTCAATCTCTGTAGGTCAGCTTCTGCCCAGTGAGTAAATGAAGTGAATCTAATGAACATTTAAGTTTTCACAGCAGGACTCTGTTCTATGGAGTCAAAAAGTATTTGCATTTTATTACAACCCCTTGCTTCAATGACTGCTTAAGATGCAGAATAGTTTTGAATGAAAGATTTTGGTTTCTGTTGATGAGATGGAACAAACAATGATTTCAGGCATCTATCAAGGCTTGATGAGCTCCAGGGAGTGTTAGCAAAAGGCTCTGACTTCCTTAAGTGTGAAGGTAGCATCTCCCCACAACTGCCCTCTGTGAGCCTGGATTTAAGATCTAGGTGGCCCACTCTGTTGTGGGCTGATCATTCAGAAAACACTCTCAGTCCGAATTTGGTCCAAATTAGAGAGCTTTTATTAGCCATCTGGCTATACCCACCTCTGTGCACACAAACTTTTAAGGATAAAAATCATTTCACCCTGTGCAGGAGTCTGCAACTAGGTAAAGCAAGCTTGGTTTCAGAAGGTAAATTTAACAGTTATGTGGGCTGTTACAATGTTACAAGTATCTGTCTGCATAACTGGGGATTTTTTTTTTTTTTTTTTTTTGGTTAGGGGTGGAGTTGACATCTGTGGTTGGGTAGAGGTTGCAGCAATTAAAGTTTCTTAACAGGTTTAACTGCACACTCTAATTAAGATAGTTCCTTTTAAGACAGATCACTTAGGCTAAGTTCTTAAGTACTTCTAACTTATAACCAGAATAGCTTAATATTACTTATCCTATAATTTTACCTTATCTTGTTTATTGATATCCTATAATCTATWTGATGCTTACTGACTAAGCTAAGCCATAACAACTCTTGCATAACACAGACAATGATGTGTACWTGATACATCCGGAGCTGTCATCTTTGTATCCAGTACTCTGTTTTGAAATATCACTGCCATTTCATTCTCCCTCCTCTTCCCTGTCACACCCAACACCCCACTCCCACCCTACAGTGATTGTATATAGAAGTAAATTTGGAYACCACTTCTAAGGAGATTAATCTTACCTGCTCTGTTCTTTATTTGGTCAAGGGTATATTTTATAGGAGGCTTAAAGAACAAGGATTAGTTTTGTCATCATTATGTGTGTCTTCTCTGATCAGTGTTCCCACTCCTGATTAGTGTGACAATAAGCTCCAACCAGTCTGGGCCAAAAATTGTACATAATAGTCTTTCCCTATTCCTTATGCTGTTTCCAATAACAACATCAACATCAACTGCCACTCATTTGTGTTCATTCTGTTCTAGGAGCCAAGCCTAGAGCTTTACAGACTTTTTGTCTTTAACTATCTTATGAGGATGATAATCATGTCACAGCCAAAAAACTGGCACCTTAGAAAAGCGTGTGTGTTCAGTGACTCACAGCTAGTGAATGGGAGGACCAGAATTGAAATGAGGACTGACTCCATTGCCCATGTTCCTGCCTACTAGACCACGCTTCCTGGAATGCTCTCCTGCATCCCTGCCTATAGAAGTCCTATCCATCAGTCAAGCCCAGATTTAACACCCATTCCCGCATGCTCATCACACCCAGAAATCATCCCTCTGTCCTCCCTCTGCTTTCAGCATTTAGCAGATACTATTCTCCCCTGAAAGAATACTACTTTGTGCTTGTAGCATTTAATGTGTGTCTTCTTATCTCTCCTGCCAGACTGTCTATTTCTTTAGAGAAAGGTCTGGATCTTGTATAATGTTGTATCCTACAAATTGCCTTCCACGGAGTAGGTATTGAATAAATACCTGAAAAAAAAAAGTGAATGAACAGATTTTAGCTCCTTTAAAGAAAAATAATAGATAACATTACTGAGAGCCTATATTATTCAAGCATGGTGCTAAATTATTTATATGGAATGACTCCTTTATTTCTCACAACAATAGTAGATAATGTCCCCATTTTGCAGTGAGACCAAGGAACAGAGGGAAAATTTCATCCAAAGTCACACATAGCTACAAGTGACAGAGCCAGGAATCAAATCCAARCAGCCTGGCCTGAGCCTTCAATGTATAYATTAAAATGTACTTTTCCTTAATCCCAAACCTGTTTAGGGGGGAGGGTATCAGTCAGCTTGTTCTCTACTGTGACCAAAAGACTTGACAAGAATAATTAGAAGAGGAAAAGTTTATTTGGGGGTTCATGCTTTTAGAGGTCTCAGTTCATAGACTCTGGTTCTATTTGCTATAGGCCTGAGGTGAAGCAGAACATGATAGCAGAAGAGTGGTAGAGGAAAGCAGCTCAGGACATGGCACCAGGAAGCAGAGAGAGAGAGAGAGAGAGAGAGCTTTTCTCACCACAGACAAAAAATATACCCTAAAGGCACACCCCAAATGATCCACCTCCTCCAGCCACATTCTACCTGCCTGCAGTTAACATTCAGTTAATCCCTATGAGGAAATTAATACACTGATTATGTTAAGGCTCTCGTAACACAATCATTTCACTTCTAAACTTTCTTGCATTGGGTTACACATGAGCTTTGGGGAGGCACATTATATCTAAACCACAATAGTTTTGAGATGTACATAGGGGCATCCAAGGGCAGCCGTAGGCTAAGTGATCATTCCAGTGATGTCTCTGGTGTCTGTCTACCTGCCTTTCAGCACTCCCTTGCCACTCTCCTCCAGTTCCCACCATAGTGCTCTCTACTGCAGTCACTGAGCTTCCACAGGGTTAAAACTGATGTCTCTYCCTTGTGTGTACCCTACCATTATACTCTAGTTGATATATTCCTTTAGGCCTTAGAGGTTTAAGGATGAGGGCATGAGGATCTCCTGAAAGGCTCTCAAACTCCAAGCCATGCAGCAGAATGCTGCTTGGTGAGGGAAAGTACTGTGGCCCAGCTTACACATAGTAGGTCAACCTGTTGTACATGTTCACAGTGCCAGGTGTGGGAGATATCAGCTGGGCAAGCTAATGGGCTTCTTCTGTCTTTCTAGGTGGTTTCATCAGTTTCAATGGTTCCTGGAGGGTCCAGGGAATCCTGGCCATGTCTCGCTCCCTGGGGGATTATCCGCTGAAAAACCTCAATGTGGTCATTCCAGACCCAGACATCCTCACCTTTGACCTGGACAAGCTCCAGCCTGAGTTCATGATCTTGGCATCAGATGGCCTATGGGATGCCTTCAGCAATGAAGAAGCAGTCCGATTCATCAAGGAGCGCTTGGATGAACCTCACTTTGGAGCCAAGAGCATAGTCTTACAGTCATTTTACAGAGGCTGCCCTGATAATATTACTGTCATGGTGGTAAAGTTCAGGAATAGCAGCAAAGCAGAAGAGCAGTGAACCCTTCGGGGTCTCAGCTGCCTTAGACTAAAGGACTTTTGACACACTGGTCTCTTTTAATGTAGTGAAAGGTGTGGGAATTGTAATTAGGATCATCCATCCCAGACACTGAATCCCCACCCTACCCCCTTCAGTGATGAACAGAGGATACCCCTGGCCTACAGTTGAGTGGCTGAAAAATGGTTTCTTTGTTTCCCCAACTCTTCAATGTCCAAAATATATAAATAGGTAGCTGTAGATCCACATGTATGAAGTGAACAGCAGATGCACCATGTATTCTCCTTCTTAAGATTCTTTTTAAGATCCCTTTCAGGGTCCTCCAGGCATCAGCCTTTATGTCCCCTCTGAAACCCTAGGTGGGACAAGCCTCCCTTCCTGCATAAGACAGGCCATTGTGACCTATAAGTCAGGGGCTGATGTTCAGTCAAGGGGCAAAGTAGTCCTAGAATATGTGGTCCTCCTGAGTCCATGTTTTCTCCTGAGCAGCAGCCTGGAAACAGATTTGGAACTGTTTATGATTTGTGGGCTGCTCTTGGAGGCTGAGGAAAACTGTGAGGATGGGCGATCAGTGACAGCGCCTGCACAGCAGAAATAACCCTTTTCCCTTCCTCCTTTTATTAGTTAAATAGATTTTGGGTACCACCTGACCAACCTTTGTATGTTTATCCTAATCACGCATGACCTTACCTTTTGCTTACACCTTCTTGTATGTAATGGGCAATTATTAATTTCATAACAGACACCACAATTTTTCATCTTAGCTAATCAAGAAATCATATTAGGGGAAATGAAAACCGCAAATCACAATGCCATCATTCCTTCCACCTTTAAGAACAGGTAGAGGAAAACCATACTGAATAAGTCACAGTGCTCCTTGGAAAGCTGGCAGTTTGCACTGGAAGTGAAAGGAGTGAGCAGGTGAGATTACCACCCTGAAGTGAACACCAGCTGCAAGTTTTTGTGCAGTTTTCCCCAAGCCCTAGCTTAATAGCTTTTGAGCATCTTTCAAGCAGTATTTGGAGAAGCAACAGCCTAGAACTGCATGTGTTCCTTGAAGCCAGAAACACGTTCCCAGACTTTGGAATTATGTGGTGAACTACTGGGGCATGCTTTTTYTCGCCAATGAAAAGGATGAAGCTTTTCACATTTGGTTGCAAACCTSTATCCACATTGGGTACCCTTCCTCAGGCAAAGGCAAACTGCCCCACATCAACTGAAGGGACTTGTGGGGGACTTGTGTGCAGTGGCAGCAAAGCTGGATGAGAATTCAAACAAGAACCCACATCGATAAGTGGCCTAGAATTATTTGGAAGCCTGGCTTTGCTGTTCTCTGTTTCCTATCAATCACCAAAGTCATATTTTTTCCAGCCTCAGCATTTTATAAGTTAATTTATAGAAAATGCTGGGTCATCCTCTTTGCCTGAAGAAGGCAGCTCTAACATCTAAGACTTCTGTTGCATCCCCACCCGCAGGTGCACCTGGTTTTATTCTTTCTGAGTGGACATTAGTCCTTAAAAATGCCTGTTCACTGGCCACCTCCAATCCAGRGTGCCCTACCCTCTGTTCCCCTTCAGCTGCAGAGCTTTCCTGAAGCAGTTTCCAAGAAAGAACTCAGGAGAATGATTAACTTGTGCTGCGAAGAACTGCAGTTTGTCTTGATACTTCCAAGAACTTACCTATCTTTGACTGCAATGAGAATTAATAATGATTTCCCAAGATTTTGTATTCTGTATTTTCCAACATTAATGTTAGAATCTTGATTATTGTTTTTTAGCCATAGAATGTTTTAGTACAAAATATCTGCTGCCATTTTAGATTTAAGCAGTTGTTCCTTGAAAGACACTGAACAATTGGATGTGTGTATTTAGGGCAGAGGTGGGAACAGAAATGTGGGAAACAAATTATTGTGATCAGTGATGGGCATTCAGACCAGGTAGCTGAGTTTGCTTGAATATCTAGGATGTTCTGATCTGGAATCACCCACCATTTAACTGAAGGTCCAACATTTTACAGTTCACAGTATCTTTCCTTTTTATATTTTTGCTTAATGCAAAAATGCATAACAAGCGAAGTACATTGTATTTTCCAAAATGAAAATAGTGAAGCTTTGGTGAAGATGAAAAAGGTACCAAATTAGTAAATTCTGTACTTATTTATTTAAGCAGACTTTCTTAACAGATACAGTGCTGAGTGTACAAGATATGTACATGCCTTTTTAAAAAAAAATTGAGGTTCACAAGGCATCTTCTAAATTTTGCTTTGTAGAATTAGTTAATTTCTGATTTTAACCAAATAGAGTGTAAATCTCATACTCCTTTTCTGCCTCTCCCCCCCCCACTATGGTTTGTAATTTTTAAAAGGTAGAAGTATGGACAAAATAGTGGTTTGATTAATTGTTATGTATAAAATCAAAGTACTCTGTTCCCTTCCCCTGTCCTCCTGGAGCTCTCTCTCCCTGATCCTTTTCCAGTTGTTAGGGGTCTGAGAACAGCACATCTGGGCTGCCCTGTGGTGTACTGGCTGCCTCCCCCACTTCTCTAGAAGCTCAGGAAAGTTGGATCTAGCCTATAGGGAAATTGAGAAGTTTGCATGTAAAGCTTCCCTAAACAGCACTGCCAAAGCTTTGGAATTGTCATCTGAGACTGCCCCTACTCCCTAGTTAACCTGAGTTTGAATTGCCAATAGTTTCCACAGTGCCAAATTTTGGGATGGTTCTACAGTCTTTTGGAAATGAAGCTGGGGATGACCACATGCTCCTGAGCAAGAAGGCAATTCCAGATCCTCATTAATGCACTGCTCTGCTGCTGCTTCTTTGGCAATTTGTACTCATTAAATGGGTTAGAAATGGGARGACGGGAAATTTGTAAAATTCAGTGTATTTGCAATTCTTTAATCATAGGAATAAACTCTACTTATGTAGAGAGCTCCAACACTAGTCCCCAAGACCTGAATTTTCTTTTTTAATGTGACCAACTTATACTAGGCAATTAACTCTGAGTCACTGTTCTGATGCAACATGACTATATGCATATATACTCATTACTGGCAACTAATGGCTACATTCTAATCCTTGCTGTGGATTGAAGATATTAGCCTATTGTATCTTGCATATGTGGAGTATTACACAGAGAGTGTTATATAGTAAAAGAGCATATGCAAACTGGATAATTTAAAACACCTTATTGACTTTGACATTTTGTACAAATGGTAAAAGGGACTGCATGACAGAATCCTCTCTGAAGTGGATCTAGGAGACTGATTACATTATTGGAATGAGTCACTGGAGTGTGTGGAAATGCATGAGGGATTTGCAAGAAGCAAAGAAGGGATCACTTTTTCCTTTGCCAGGTATACCTTGATTTTCCTTTTCTTTTTTTTTCCTTTCCTCCATGAATTGTTGGCAGATCTCTCTTGCAACTATTTCAATGTAAGGCTTACATTGAAAAAGGATGAAATTTCATTGTACATTTGAAAGTATAGGGAAATATGCTTTATATAAATCTTTATTTTTCAATGATTTCAGAAATTATTTTTCCCTTCTTTCAACACATCATAAATTGATCTTCCCTTTATAGTCCCCCAGAATTACCTTTGCATGTTATACCAGCATTTCCAGCAGTTCTGGAAAAATGTAATGACTGTTAGCTACTATGCTGGGGCCTGTTTAATTGCATCTGGACTAAAACATTATCTGAATTTTTTAGATTGTTAGCTGCACACTAAAAAATAGTAGAATCCGACSTTCCCCAAAGTGTGTTCCAAAGAATCAAGTTCCAAAGATGCTCTTCCAAATATGGGGCTTCAGGGTCAAAGAAGTTTGGGAAACATGGTCTTAGAAAGTACATCTAAGCTCATTGAAGCCTCTAATTTAAATATACTGCAGTGGAACAGGAAACATACCACATTCATAATTTCTGTTAGCTCTGTGTTTCCCAGATTAATTTGACTGCAGAACCTTTTTAAAATAATACCTAGTAACATTCAAGGAATACACTTTGGGAAATTCTGATATATTGAAATATGTTTTCTCATTCCAATAACATTCAAGGAATACACTTTGGGAAATTCTGATATATTAAAATATGCTTTCTCATTCGCCATGACTCTTTATAGTAGCAGTACAGTTTGCAATTTAGTAGCACTAATCCTTTCATGGAAGAGGCTGATTAAATAGAAACAGTTTAAAAATAGTCTTATTTAATGTGACCACTAGCACCTCATATTGATAGCAGAAGTCTAACAAGTTTTCCCTCATGTGAATTACAAGTAAGAGCTTTACCTTAGACAGGAAGTTCTCGAGTTCATTCCAAGATCTTTCAGTGCTTTTTTGCAGTTATATTTGCTCTCCAGGTTGAATAAATATTTTTATGTTTCATCACTAAATGTGATAGTTTAAAATATAGAGAAAATAATAGAACAGAAAAAAGTTCATGTTTGATTTTAACTCACTTTTGAAATTTTAACTCAATTTTAAAAATTAACTACATTGAATAATAATAGAAGTGCAAACTTAACACCTATTTACTCTTTCCTCTATTCTCTCTAGATTCAATGAAATAATTTAAAATCAACTGGAGCTCCTAGGTCCTAAATTTCTGTTATATGTCATCCTACCTTTCATATGTTTTATACATATTAGCAAGTTATCTCTTGCCTAACATGTATGGATTGATCATAGTTCCATAATACTCACTTTCAGTTTGGGCAGTTTGTTTGGGATGCCATTACAGATAACCCCTCAATAATGGATGAAACATGGTACAGAGTGAATTTAGGGTAAAATCAGTAATTTAAAATTACATCCAATATTTAGGAATCTGCCCACCCTTTGAACCTATCTAAAATCTAAAGGTAGGATCCCTTACTCTAGGTGGCATATTGCAAAGGGCAAGGGACAGTCAGTACCATGAGGCTTCCATTGTTTCTGAATATGTTTTCTAATATGTAAATTTTTGCTGATTCCTAGTAATGTTAATGCTCTGTCCATTATTCTTTTTATAACTGTTAAGCTACAAACTATTACACTGAAGGTTGATTATGGTAATTTTTACATGTTTAGTAATAACCACACCATCATATGTACAATCACTTTAATAAATCCAACTTAAAGACTTTGAGGAAAACACGTAGTAACTGTTCATTTTGAAAAATCATCATAGGCATTTTCACTATCTAAAACTTCAATGAAACCAAGCATGAAGCAAAGGAATAGGTTGTATTTAAAGATGTACACAGCTTCATTTATTCAAGGAGTTTTATAATCTGGTATCATTTAACTATAAAATCCTGCCTGCCATTTGCTGATTTGTGTGTGTGTGTGTGTGTGTGTGTGTGTGTGTACTGGGAATTGAACCCAGGGCCTTGCACTTGTTAGGTAAGTACTCTACCACTGAGCTACACCCCTAGCCTTTTTTATTTTTATTTTTAAGACATGGTCTCACTAAATTGCACAGACTGGTCTTGAACTTGTGTTCCTCCTACCACAGCCTCTCCAGAAGGTGGGATTACAGGCATCCACYACTGTGCCTAGCCACATTAATTCTGGAAACCTCCAAGACCAGCATTCCTAGCTCTGAGCACAAGCAGAATCTTATAAAAGCTCTGGTGGCTGATTGTGGGGTAGGAGTTAGGGAATGAGGAGTAGCAGGAAAATTGGCCTGGGTCACTTGCTACCTCTACAGGAGCAAGACTGAATTAGCTACACATTCTYTTGTCACCTTCTAGCATGAGTCAATCCAGAAATTAATGTGATGAATTACTTCAAAATATTTATATTTTAATTAGACAAATCATTATTTTAAATGTGTTCATGCAGAAACAAAGGTAGAAATAATGGTCAAGGAATTGGGAGAGGATGGCCTTTGGGATAACCAGATATGAAAAATATAAAAGTAGGTAATCAGAGATGTAAATTACCAGGCTTTTCCCATATATAGGATGTGTTCAGTAGTGATCCCTGACATCTGCACATAGATTAGTAAGATACAATTGTACTTTTTAAAACATCAATATTCTGAAAGGGAAGTCAGGGTTTTTTTTTTTCAATAATGTAAAGTGGTAAAATTATAGACCCTATTCCATTTTTTCCCCAACAAAAACAGATATGGTATCATTT